TTCCTTGTATGTCCTCTCGAACATGCTCCATCTCAAAGTATAGTGTTACCTCAAACCCTGACTTATTTTTCACTAGGGTTAATGGACCCGTATGAGGAATTGATTCTCTTCCCCTGGGAGTCAACTGAAACACTAGATTTGGCGACGGAACACGATGGGCTAGGGGAGTCATCATGCTAATGTCGGCATCGTTGGCGTCGGATTTCGAGCCTATCCAATGACTGTACGCAAGCTTGTTCTCAAATGTGTATTTCCCACTGTTATCAATGACGGCGAGAAGGTAGTAAAGGCATTGCCGAACCGACACATCGTTGTTGTTGCCAACTCCAGAGCTAGTGTTCATGATAGGCTGTGAAACATATAACCGCGGCACTCCTCCCTTTAGGGCTTGCCTAAGGAATATGGTTTCATTGTAGGTTGTGAGGAACCCGTATAGCATTTTAAAGCGATGCATATAAGAGGCAATTTGGCCTAGAGAATCCCCGTCAGTTAACAAGACTAATTGGTCGTAAAAAACATGAAAATTTGAGACGGTGCATACCCAAAGCTAGCCGAAGGCCCATCTGATTCTCCCTCATAAAATTATCCATATAATCCTGAAGGTCATGCTTCCAGGGGGTCTTTGCCTCTCCAACAAGGACTATGTTCGGTTTAGAAGATTTTGGGAGAGCGCGCAGCTCGTTAATGTTTGCGGCTGAGCATTTGACCGCGACATGATCAGGAAGAAACCTGTCGTTGCCCGAACTCTGGCTCTCTAAACACACCTTGCAGTCTCCAAAACGGTATTTAATGCCGTTATGAAACGCGACTGCGCTTACAGGGCCAAGGGCGTTTTGGGCAAAGCGCCCGCACACAGATTGTTCGTCTCCGCAAAGGTAGTGCTCTTGATGAATGTAACCAGGTTGTTCTGACACTCTATCGAGATCAACGGATAAAGTGCCCTTATTCAGATACTCCGAAGATGTCCAGCGACGTACCTCCTCTTCAAGATCCCAAATCTTTATCGGTCCTATGTAGTACTCCTTGTGCCAAGCGGAACTTGTTGTTCGATAACCTTCTCGGGTAAGGAGATCAGGAAGTGGTTCTGCGAGGATTGAATGGCTGTCACGCAGACGTAGCTGGCCGGGTATCCCCGACATGTTTAAAACAAAGGGTAGGAGTATAGAGATGGATGAAGGAGATCAACTTAGATAGAGGTATGAAGCTCTGTGTGAATTTGCGTCTTGAGAAAGTAAAAGCAAACTAGAGCACCATGGCGAGCTTTATAACACTTCGAGCACACTGCTCACGTAATAGCAACCTCGTTCCCAAAGACTCTTGTCGACCACCGCAAGAGCTGTCGGCGCGTAACAATTGGATGATGTTTCTCGATCATTATTGTTGGGGATCCACCACGACGAAGCGCTGGCTTTGCGGGTCATGAATTATATTTTTAGTACGCAATTTGCATTCACCTAGAAAGGCATTACTTTGCGTTGCCTGGCATGGGGCGAAAAATTGATATTGCATATTACGCGCCGACGAGCCGTTAGCTTGGCCCCCAACTACCCATAGGACCATATACCTGAACATGGTGGCTAGGTATAATGACGTAAAGGGCAATAGGTGTCTTGGGCAAAAGAATATTTTCCATCCAAGAGCTAGATGAAGAGGTTTACTCTGAGGTATATAGCAATATGCTTGCAACATAGGAACACATTTATATATAATATATAATATATATAAGGAGAGTATAACAGACGGAGAGATCACCCTTAAGAGACACAAGCGGGGGGAATTGGTAAAAACGATTGATTGGTAGAGAATGACCGGTATTCATATTATTCAATGCACGGGACGGCGGATCCCCTGACGGCATACGTATTCACTACAAGGGGTTTCCTCGAGTTAATGCGTATGTCAACATTTCCGGCCTACGCGCCCTGTGATGGCCGTCCCATGTGTGGAATTCTGGATGTCGATGTTGCGGCTCATTGGAGTTCTTTGTTGTTGGTTGTTTCACTAAAAGCAACTAGCCGCCCCTAAAGTCTATTTTTGACTGTCACATTGTTTGTTATGCGCCAAGAAGCTTCTTGGGCGCTAAAGATCAACAACATATAAGCAGCCTGGAAATACCAGCTTCATCCTCTCCCCCACCACCACCAGCTTCTTCTTCTTCTTCTTATTCACCGCTACTACAGTTAATCGTCCAACTTGTATCTTCTTTTTTTTCTTTTGATCTTTCTACACTATGGGTGGTGTAAAATTCCATCAGTACTGGATTGAGAACTTGTTTCATGGGTATACCCTTTGGAGCATGGACAATCAGACAGCATGGCGTATTAGAGAGAAACTCTCTGAACGTGCAACACTCTATATAGACAACGCTGAGAATACAGTAGCAGAGGGACAAGCGGTCTACGTCTGCCAACAAGTCCATGGGGAGTCAGTTGGGATGGAAGCTATCATGAAGATTCGACTACAGTAAGTGCCGAGATCTGGTTGTTTAAGTACCTCGGATATTTGACTAATATCGAGGTAGAGTTCCTCCTGAATACCCTCCAAACAGGGATCCAGAGGCCCTAAAGAAGCTGGCTTCTAATATACCATCCGTCCTCGTTAAAGATGAGGTCGGTGCTTTGAAACACTTCAACAAAGCGGGCTGTAAGGTGACGCCGAAACTTATCGACCTCGTACCAGCTCTCCAACCATCCAACTGCCCAGTCCCAGACGGGTACATCGTGTTTATAGTGATGGAGAAGGTCCCTGGTGTACCGCTGTCAGATTTTTGGGAATACGACTTGGCCAAGCGTGACAAAATCAGGGCCGCTTTTCGTCTATCTATGCTGTAAGCCTGCCTGGCTTTAGCTATAGAGTACTTGATCTAACGTCATATGATCTAGGGAGCTGTATCGTCATCGCGGTTATCCGACCGATCGTCATCTCGGAAATCTGATTTACGACGAGGAAAAGGACAAATGGTAAGTTTCCTTGCATTTAGATATATCTCTTATTGGCACTGACACAGATTTCGCAGCTGGGTTGTGGACTATGAGGGTATTTTGGTTCTTGCAGATAACGAACGGAATGAGTTTAATGAAAGAGATTATCGTGCCTGGGGATTAGCATACCGCAATACTGCGACTCGTGAAACTTCCTACTGATGGCAGTATTCGGTGTCTATATTACGGCCTTCTTTCTGTTATTGTATCCTTACCTTATCAATAAACAAGTTTTCTATTCTGAAATAATACATATTAATGTAATATTCAGAACTCAATATTGAAGATATACTTTATAATCGACGTAAAGGCAGGTTATAGATGTAGTAGTATTCGTAATGATATATTTAAGCCCGCCTTTTGAAAACAAGCGTGGAAATCGATAAAAGTTTCTATTAATAATAAATGAATAATATTTTATTAACTATATGCTAAGTGCGTATCAAAAGTTTTCTACATTTAGATAGGTCATGATTTATTTCTGAGTTTTTTTCACCCTCTCGAAGGACAAGGCGTGTGGTATAGAGCCTCAGATAACTATAGTAGGTCACCGTTGCCATAGAGGCCTTATTATTATTAGCTTATCATTATCCAGTGTTGACATGTTACACTATGATTTACATATTGTTCAAGCCCTAAGGTTACTAAAGCAGCAGGTTTAGCGCGTAGCAGCGGCACAGAATCTATTGGGCCATTTAGCCTATAAATTGAAGTTAGAGCCCATATATGAACTATTTTTAAGAGTAGATAATAAAACCACAAAGTTCATCACAGGCCCGAGAATCAAGTTGCTCCAAGCGAGCAACAAAGTAGTGACTCGGCTTTATAATTACTAGTATATAATCTGGCAGGGAGGTGAGGCCCTCAAACAAGTAGCTACCCCCCATATAATTAACAGCTATTCGCTGTTAGTCCTAGAAAGATATCTAGAAACTTGCGGAAGAGGTCGTGGATTACCACGAAATCGGACGAATGGAACGCTATAGTGGATACGGAGAAGGCCTTCTATATAAGCTTTAAGACCGTTATGGTTTTCGAAAGGTTTGTGGCGAGAGGGCATTGGCTCTATGAGTAAGGATGCTACTCGCTTTGAATGGCTTCATAATACAGCCCAATTATGGATATGGTTTCCATCTTTTTCCTGATCCAGTTGGTTTTTCTGGGCAGAAACGGGTTTGATAAAATAGTTTCTCTGCTGCAAGATATTAGGCGTTATTATTATCATCAGCATGCTAAAAATAACCATCAATAAGGTCTCCAATCCAGTTCCGACGATATTCTACACCATTAATGGCGTACAAAGTTAAACGAAACATACAAAGGTCAATAAACTTCGGTGATAGAAGCACCCACCGCCCAATTTTATGTTATATTCTGATATTACTCTGTGTTGCACGGTTGGCTTGGGCCGTCAGGCGAGAAACCGCTTGCAGCTCGTTACTGTCCTTGCTCCTAGTCGTGGCTATGGTCCTGCAGTAAGTTGTCTCATATCCTGATTGAAACGTCTATTATCGTGCCGTGCCATTGTGAAGGGTAATGTTTATCCGTAGACCATGCCGAGTTGTTCATGTTATGTCATGCTGTCTTTGCTTAAGATGTTATTGACGTCTAAATTAAGCTGTGGGTGATCGTCGTTTTCTAGAAATTTGCCAAGACGCTAATAAGTTTCTGGGCTAGACTGGAGGCTCTTATATCACGTAGTTATCCGGCCGCTAGGTATATGTAAAGCGTAATCCAAGGGCTTATTGAAGCTCGCCGCAAATATATAATAGTAACACAACATACGGCATCGGGTTCGAAGTTCTAGAGTATATTTGCTTGTCATTATCCAACTAAAGTTGGTTTAAACTAGCTAGAGCCGTTATGGTTGGCAGAAAATTTAATACGAGCGTTTGTTAACCGTTCTAAGTAGGTCTAATTACTTGTATATTAATTTAATGGACAGACTTTGGTTAGCATTTCTCAATTATTTCCTGTGATTGGACTACACTGAAATTTATTAACAATTTAATATTCAGGATATTTGGCTACAAGCACTCCTATCTTATTTAGACGTATGTTTGCCAGCGTAGTATACAATATGAACGTGTTAAACGCTACAATGGCTATAGCATAGACGGGCACGATATCTATGGTTACTCTTCTAAGAATATTTTCCTAGGATGGGACAAATTTGCACCACTCCAGCGGTGCTTCCAAGGTCAGCAAGCAGAGGACCAGTTCTGCTCTCTTCTTATCAATTGAGACGAGGAGTTTGTGGAAGAGGGTGATTTTTGGGCAGAAGGACCGTATTGAATTCGACCGCAACGTGCGAAGGCGGGGATGTGCGTCACAATGGCTGGGAAGGTTGAGGTGCTGAAGGAGCTGGGGGCAGTCTTCTATCAAGGCCTAGTATGCTTCAATAGCCCTGAAATTAACTGGTAGTGACGTCTGTCACCCGGATTGGAGCATTTTGTGATTTACCTATTAGTGAAGAGCGGATGCTTGTGAACTATGTAGTCAGTTGTTTACTTTCAATCAATAAAAGGCGTCCTGGTCCAATTTGGGATATTGTAAGGATTATAAACCGTAAAATAAGTATAGATTGACGCAGTAACGCCATATATATGGTACATGTTATTTCAAAAGAGAATCATAGTTAAACATGGTTGGAAAAAGGAGTTAAAAAATAATGTATCATGTCCAACCTCCGCACGCCATGGCCGAATAGACAGGCCTTTCTCTGTATGTAAAATAAGCTTTTTGCCCTCTACCTGAATTAAACAATGATCTCGCCTGGATCGATGTGAGCTCGTTTCCAAGGCTCTGCACCTTCTTCTTCCATTGAGCTGGGTACTCTGACGTTCAAAGGGCTATAAAGGTACCAGCTCTTCAAGGCGGCAACAGCGGCCCTGACACGGGCCTCACTTAAGCTCGCACCAGCTCCTTCGCCGAGCTTATCCTTGCCAGAGAAGATACCGACGATGAACACTGGGTGCCTGCTCAGTCGACCGGTTTCGCTTATAACCTTAGCCACCGGTGCCTCGAAGCCTTCTCGCTTGCATAGTTTTGAGAGGTCGCGTGTGGGTTCCGTGAAACCGAAGAGATCAGCAATTGGTAGTTGACGGGACTTGAAATGTTCTTCGAAGAAGGACTTTGCCGCACGTCGTCCTCCGTGGAGGTATATAGCACCCATCAAGGCACGGACGAAATTCGCAGAGGCTCGTGTTGGTGTGATAACGTCTCCATAGGTGCTTTGATCAGAGTCACGGCGTTCAGAAAATTCGACATCGTTTACAAACAGCGAGCCGAGTCCCCGTCTGAAGGTCTCGCCGGGTAGAGGGAGGCGGGATATTCCTGCGGGTACTTCTTCTTTTTCCTTATCTATTGTTTCCTGGTCTGCTATCCTGAACTGGAGATAAGCAGGATCGACCTCGCTGCCAGGCTCAGCGGCATGCTCAACACCCCATTCATTGGCCATAACTGCCAACGCCTTTGGCCCTATGTATGCGTACATTGCTGTCCATAGCACCGACATAGGCAGTCGTGGGTATTGGCTGATAAGATATTCGGTGGTGTAGTAGGAAAGAAGGTCGTTGCCAAGCACGGAGAAAGAATGATTGTTAAATTGAGTGGAGGAGTCGGCGGAGGCATCAATTAGGGTGCGAGCCAGCGTCTGAAGCGGCAGTCGTTCTGGTAACGAAAGTCGAGCATGGAGTGAGGACAGCTTTGGAGAAGCGATAAACTCTTCCGCAGATGCGAGCGGAGGGCCTGAAGTTCGGCCGCTGTGTGAGAAAGGAGGGAGGTCATGGTCTGGAATTACTGGAGCAGCTGCGGAGGAAAGCCATCTCCCATTCCTCTGCTGAAAGGGCCGTATATATGTGCTGCGACAGGATCGTATTGGCGGCGATACAACGGCACCGCTCCAGCGTAGGAGCTGCAATCTTTTCATTTGGGCTTCCCGGTCTACGGGGATACGGCGAGGGCGTAGAAAAAGGGCAGAAGACCAAACGAGCAGTTCAATTGAAAATGCCGGAAGTGTTGTTGTGTGGCCTGAATATCCCTTCAGTCCTCTTTCTTATCCTCCCTGTTTGCTGGTAGAGAAACGAATTTGAAAGATTTGAAGGTTGAATTTGTGAGCGATGAGTTTCTGCGGCGCTAGTCCGTTTTGGGGTTGCTAGCGCTTTCGCTCACTTCGAACTTCCCAAAACCTCCAACATCAACGAGAGAGAGAAAGACAAGCAGCAGGCTTCAACAGATAAAACACACGTTCACGCTCGTTGTTCGGCTGCACAGGTTCGAAGAAACATGGGTGGAGGTCCAAAGATCCGGTATGTACCGTGAAGCTGGTTTCAATTGGTGTGATAGTCGACGTTTTTGACTGACTGTATATCACAGCTACCCGACCCACGTCTGGTCGCCTGCCGGTGGTTGGTACGCACAGCCTAGCAATTGGAAGTTCAATACGTTCGTTATCGGTACTACTGCTCTCGGGTTTGCGGCATTGCTCTTCAACTACAGTGCGCAGCATGAACACCGTGACAAGTTTCCGGAGCCAGGCCGCTTCTTCCCAAGCCGATGGTATGTTCACACTTGGCTACGAAAGAACATCGGAATAACAGCCTAACGTTGAATTACAGGTGGAGCAAACAGATTATTGAACATGAACGAGCAGTAGCGTCGAAAAGTGACTCGTGATCTTTGAAAGTGGATGGCACCGAGGGCCTGTACAGTTATTCATATTTACGGCGTTTTGTTTTCCAAGTGGATAGAAGACAATTGATGTTCAATTATTGAGCCACTTCAAGTTTTTGTCTCTTATGGGAGTCCTGTGTGTCGACGAGTTGCCTGGTATATCGGCGGACTCGCCCAACATAACTCGTTCCATTCCAGTACTCTTCACCTTCGGGCGAGAAAGAAAGGACGGGAACGCCTACTTGCTCGATTACATAGCTTGCTGCAACAGTGGCACATACCAATCCAGCTAGAATATTTCCCCTATCATCCCATGTGGTGCAAACTGCTCTCCAGTCACCAGACTTTTCCATAATCTCACGAGTAGCCTCGATAGGAGCGCGATTAGACCCCGCAAGCACCTGGCAAAGTGCTCCAAGGAACGAATTCCCGGCACCGGTAGGATCTACAGCCTTCGACTCTAGATACGCGGGAAGCGCTACCTGGTCATCTCGAGAAAAGGCATAGCATCCATCCCGTCCTGCCCGAACAACTAGTACTCCGTTTCCATCTATTCCTATGCCGGACTTGACAATAGACCGGCATATCTCTTGGTCCCGGGGATTATCAAAGTGCCATGAGGAATTGCTAAAGTAGCTTCCCATCTCATGTTCATTTGGGCTCACCACGTCTACATGACGAATTACCTCGTAGAACCTCGAGAGCTCTTCTGGATGACAAGAGTCCGGGAACGGCTCCCAGACAAATATTGGACGCCTTAGCTCTAGCTTGTGCCTCTCACCGAGCTCACGCCGTCTTTCCAGTATCCCTTGCACTATATTATAGCATCTGTCTGCAGAGCATGACATGTGGAAAGTATTTGAAAGGACAAGCTCCTCCGTAAGTGTCTCAGGCACAATCTGTATCTTGGGCGTAAGATACTTGAATACTAACAGGTGGTGTTAAGATTTGCTCCCAGCTTGTATTTAGATAGCGTCAAAACACACACCTCTCTTCTCGTTAGCCTCGTAGCCATTCCACCCTTTGGTAGTTTGTCTGTTCATATCCTCTCTAAAGACGCAGTGCGTCTCCCAGCTTGCAATCAGGTCTCTAACATGCTCTGGGAAATCATAGCCCGTATCGACGATCCAGCCAACTGAGCGTGAGTGATCCTTGCCAGCAGCAATGCGTGCACCGATGGCGGCAAACGAGCCAGCTCCACCGACTATATCTCGTACAGGAGGCGTAGGAGGTTCATATTCGATTTCGTCTAATGTTCTTCTTCCTCCGTTAGCATCGGCGGGCGTGAGACAGAGCGGGATGTTTTCACTAGCCGATGATGAACATGGCGAGAGTACAGAAATCTATCTGCCTGCTCCCACCAGGCAGAGATCCTCTACTCGGCATAGCCATTCCCTTTGCTTGTGTATTATATCATATAAATCTTGCTGCCTGTGATTCTCGTCGTTCGTTGATGTAGAATTTGATAGGTACAGATGTGTTACGGTAATATATGAAATTAACTCCCGACATAGTGTAAAGTAAGCCACTATCTGTGTATTACATTGTAACATTAGGCATCGTAATAAACCTCCCAAGCTCTCCTTAAATTGTATCAACGTCTTTTTACATCTACATCTACAACCAAGCAACTCACGGCGTTTTTTCTTCTGTGTAACAGCCTACTAGCGGAATAAAGCGGGAAGACATCCCACAGACACTTTATACAGCGTCTCTGCCTTTATACAGGCTGTTGCACCGCCCCAAGATACGACGTGTAGCTGGCAAGATGGTCTCAAACAACCATATGAACAATTTAACAACCCTTATTAAGCGGTATGAATGGAATATCAATTGATTGAAGAATATATACAAGTAAAACAGTACAACTAATATATATATTTCTGGCACAGGCTTGAAGCTGCAACCTCCAGGCTGGAGGACATGGCCGCTTCCCTCGATGGCCCAGGTCCCAGTCCGGGGACAAGCGCCAATATCGTGGGTGCTGCTGACACCTCTAAAGCTGCTGCGCCAGCTATGCCAGCCGCTGAACCCCTACCAAAGTGCATCGAGGCCTTTGACGCTATAATCTCCAACGAAGTGAAGGCATTCCTCGATATCAGCCAGCAGCTCGGTGATCTAGTTGTCCCTCAGGCAAGTAGCCATTGCGCCATCACAGGAAGAGTAGTATGCTGATACTTATTACCCCTATAGTCTAAAGCAGTCCTTAAAGCCTTCGAAGCCGAACGGAAATACCTTCTTGTGTCTACTAAGGCCAAGAAGCCAGAAGCACAACCCCCAGAGCTGTTCACGGACCTGCACAGGGCCTCCGACGAAATCAACAATATCCGCGAAAGCAATCGCCCCTCTCCATTCTTCAACCATCTTAGTGCGGTAGCGGAAGGTGTGGTTGCGTTGGGTTGGTTCTTCGAGACCAGACCAGCAACTTTCGTCACGGACACGCTGGGTGGAGCACAGTTCTATGGAAACCGAGTGCTCAACCAATACAAGGACAAGTGAGTAGTCAGGGCTCATTGTGCGCTGTAGAAGAGACGCTTTGCTAACGCCTTGAAGGGATAAAACCCATGTCGAATACATTCAAGCCTACTACCAGATCTATAAATCCCTTATCGACTACATCAAAGAATACTATCCCCGTGGAGTGACATGGAACGACAAGGATGGTATCGATGTGATGGATGCATTGAAGCAAGTGTCTTCAGGCTCTTCCTCTTCTGCACCACCTGCAACAGTATCGAAGGAGGCAGCGGGCGGTCCGCCACCACCGCCTCCACCACCACCACCACCAGGCCCTCCACCAGTAATCAAAGCAGCACCACCTAGCAATGATATGTCTGCTGTTTTCGACCAGCTTAACCAAGGTTCTGCTGTCACAGCGGGCCTCCGAAAGGTAGATAAATCTGAACAAACACACAAAAACCCCAGCCTGCGAGCTCAGTCTATCGTTCCGGGCAGCCCTACGTCTCGTGGTAAATCCCCCGCTCCCAGCAAGAAACCAAAGCCAGAGAGCATGCGGGTCAAGAAGCCTTCCCGGAAACAACTGGAAGGCAACAAATGGTTCATTGAACACTTCGATAGCCCTGCAGATATTGTCGAAATCTCCGCTTCTCTCAGTCAGTCCATTCTGATCTCCCGATGCAACAAGACGATCATCAAAGTCAATGGTAAAGCCAACGCGATATCACTTGATAATTGCGTTGGTGTCTCCATCATCGTCGACTCGCTCGTTAGCAGTCTGGAAGCAATTAAGTGCTCCAAGTTCGCGCTGCAGATTGACGGAGCTGTTCCATCCGTTATGTTCGATCAGATTGACGGAGCCCAACTTTACCTCAACGCTGGCAGTATGGATACCGAGGTCCTTACAAGCAAGTGCACGGCTATCAACATCGTCCTACCGCCCAAGGAGGACGTTGAAGATTCAGATGCAAAGGAGTGCCCTGTTCCCGAGCAGATTAGAACTGTAGTCAGGGATGGAGCAATTGTTAGTGAAATCGTGGACCACGTAGGGTAAGCGATAGCATAGAGCTCCTGGCGAGGAATAGTTCGCTGTTGATTGCACATAAACTTGCTCTGATATTTATATTACGCTTTGGTACTCACCTCCAATATATACCTCTACTTATTAGTTTCAGTTACTCCGCAATATGCAACAGCGTAGATGATCACTAGTTTAATTCAATTTAATAGATATCTGGCCAGCACTATGATCGCCGTACTCCCATAGACGTATGCACATAGGGATGAAGACACAACACTCTACATTATGCACTTGAGACGGTGGCAGCTTGACTGAAAACCAAAAGGAGCAATATCAATCTCGCTCTCGGATACCATTCCAACACCAGAGTGACCAATTAGTTGAATGTGACTAACATGTTAAATGGGAGAGATAAGAAAGCTATAGACCGGGATATAATGCAATTTAAACAGGGAATATAGGAAACTAGCTAGCTGCCTTTCTCTAAGATTAAGAGGGGTTGGGTATCTTTGTTAAATGACTAAAATGCTGAAGAATAGGATGGCTATAGAGTAGTGGGGATGTCAGGATTCAAGCATATGAGTTGGACATGGTTAGGAGGGTTGGGTATGTGATGGGGATGATTCATTGAGATCTCTTAGTTTGAGAGAGAGAAGGCTTTCGGCGTTGGATGAGCGGCTGGAGGGACGGGGATGTTGGCGTGGCACTTGAAAATTGTGCATGGATTGTAAGGGGGGAAGTGATAGTTGCTGTTGTATGTCCTGAGAAGGAGGATGTGTGTTGAATGAGGTTGTGAATGAGGTCGTTTTACTTCGCGGAGAGGTAGAGGCACCTGATATGCCGTCGAAGGTATCTAGCATGCCTGCACTGGGCCGCATACGCCATGCTGTAGGAGGCATGTATAACGGGCTGGAAAATGTGTCATCGCGGTCCTCTGGATGTCTACGGAAGTTGAGAAGGCCAGGCATTTGAGGGTGTAGCGATGGTGAGTTCTGAAGAGCAGATGCAGGCTGAAGCGGCCGTGAGTCAAATGATGAAGAAGGGCTGATTTGGTCCCTATCCTGGTCCCTGCTACTGCCGCCTAGTCGAATGCCTGAGCTACGACGACGATGCTGTTGTGCTTTTTCAGCGGCGAATCTGGCGGATTCCTTGGATACTTTGTACGCACTGAATCGTGGCTCTGGATACTGCAGTTCGTTCCGTAGCTTCTCCTTGCCGTCGGGAACTCGGTTTGCGAATACGGCGCGGATGCCGGAGTAGAGATAGAAACGGCCCCGGGACGGACAGCAGATGTTGATGTGGATTAGGTAGCGAAGGACTGGTTTATCCTGGGAGTCCGGTGTTGGACTGGCTTGTGGAATGTCCACGGCCGGGCCGGTGGAATAGCTCCGTTGTCGAATGAAGGTCTTGGTGCCAGGCTCCATGCCCTCGAGGTCATACGGTACAAGAAAGAGCTTAACGGCCGTCTTATTTGGATTCTTGATGATGATCTGTAGCTGACCCTGTTGGGGAATACGGTAGCAGCCGCCTGGCGGTGACTTTGGAGACTGAGAGCGACGGGATCGTTTTTCTCGAGCCCGGAGTTCACCGCGTGGCGAGAGAGAGAGGTCCGAAGAAGCTATCTCTTCCGGAGGGTGACATGGACATTTTCGCGGAGCAACCTGCTTCTTCGGTTTCTTAGCGGCGGCCCTGCTCTCTCCGGGCAGAGAGTTTTCAAGATCGATGAAGCCGACGTATGGACTGGGACTGTCGTCTGCTATGTTCTTGCCGCTGGCCGAGCCGGAGTAGCTGTAGAATACGGCGGGAAACGGCACCATGACGTGTGGCGGACATCTCAGGTTAGACTTGCAGTTGCCTTTTCCGAGGACCCCTATCTCAGCAGTGAAATCCAGCGGTTTGGACGGGTTGGTGGACATCCTGCCTCTCAGGATCGATTCTTCATACGATCCGACCATCGAGGCGTGGTGCAAGGGAGACGCTTCCGCCGACTGAGAAGGGCGCCTGGGACGGTAGAAGTCCGGTCCACCCTGGGGGGAGCTGGCTACCTGCAGGCTACGCATGGAGGTGATGGATCTCCGGGGCTGATGAGCCTGGTAGTAAGACGGGGGAGAAGAAGAAGAGGGAAAGTTTCGAAACGTTTCTGGGGGCAGAGTCCGTCGTCTACTGGCCTTTTCGGAGCCAGCTGAACATACATCCATATGTTCATCCTTGAGGGAGAAGTCCAGGTCTGGATTGTTTGCCTGGATGACCAGCGGGCTGGTGGGTGCCTTGAGCACGTAGCTTGAAGGAACAGAGCCGAGAGAGGGAGCCCTGGATCTTCCTGAAGGGGAACCAAGGGCCTGGCGGTGATTGAAGCTGACACCGGCAAAGGGATCCAGCGGTGGAGGGATATGGACATTCGAGTCGACCCATCCGGGTTCCTGGTATGAAGACGACTGTGCCAGCTGCTCTATGCCGAGCGGCTTGGGAGACCCCTCACGGAAATCTCCCGAATGGAGAGCTGATCTGGGCCGCTCAATACTGACCGGTGAGCCACAGGACCTATAGCTGGGAGCTTTCTCCTGCTCCGGCGACTGTTCGAGCTCAACAGGCGGCAGCAGAGGCGAGCTCTTCCTCTTCTTCTCCTCGAGTCTCTCGAACGGAGAGTCACCATGTGTGGCAAAGTATTCTTCGAGCTATCAGGAGCATGTTAGTTGATATCACAGCAGACGTCATGTATAAAGATTCGTATCAACCCAGACTTATCCAGGAACTGTCTCTGCACGTCCTGGAGAAATAGATCATGTAAAGACAAAAAAGACTCTCCAGCTATGGAATACTTACAGCACGGTTGGGAACCCATGTAGGGCTTTCGCCGTCTTTGATTCTCCGTATGAGCTCTTCACGGCTGCTCGTCTGAGGACCATGACGGGGGGTCTCCATGCCCTGCTCGAGAGAAGACTGGTCTATCATGATCTCGTCTTCAACAGCTTCCTCCACTGCTACATCTGGCTGTTCCTGATGATGATGATGATGCTGCTGAGGTGTTACGGGACGACGGAGAGGCAGAGCTGGAGACCAACAGCTATACTCCCGTCCCTGGTCCTCTGGATGAAATACCGGCATGTTGGGCTCTCATAAACGAGGATTCAACCACGCATCGTGCAGACTTGTATAAGTCAGGTTTCTCAGACGGACAGAAAGACGTGGCAGCCTCACAGGCAAACGAGAGAGAGAAGAGTCTGTAGCGGCCTTACGGGGTCGGCGGAGAGAAAGTGATATCAACGAAGAACAGCGAGAGAGAAGACTATAGTACCGATCGATGCAACGAAAGAGAAATAATTCGATAGATATAGCAGAGCAGGAAGAAGAAAAGGGGGCCTTTTTACACGGCTCCCATCAGGCCATCGAGAATCATGTTTCAGGGGGTGACTTTTTCTTTACTATAAGATATATTTTATATCATCCTCTCTCTCTCTCTCTGCGTCTGCTTCTTCTTTTCTTCCCTTTGAAAAAAGAGTCACCTGCTTTTCGACTAACTTATGATACGATGACGAAGAAGAAAAGGGCGAAGAAAGTAATAGTGACTTGTAAAGGCGTTACCGCTAGAAATCTACATAGTTAAAAAAGAAAAAAAAGGTTGGAAGAAGAAAAGTTGCTGCTCCCACTTTTTGCATTTCGGGCGATAACTACGATATATTATTTTTTTTTTACTTCTTTTTTTTTTTTTCAACAAACGGCTTCAAGGACCGAAAGGAGGGTAGAAGATGGCGCCGAAGAGGAAGATGGATGAAGATGTCGAGGGCAAGGAGTCGAAACGGCCGAAGAAAGGGTTCTCCGTCGGTCCTGCAAACCTGCCAGACGGCACCTACAGGCGTAAAGGTGAGAGAGACTTGCTACGAGAGAACTGCCGTGAGCCGGGCTACCATGCTGATACTCGATCCATAGTCATAAAGATTAAGGCAGATTTAATTCACAAGGCCAAGTTGAAGAAGTCGTACGAGAAGATCAAGGCACGCGAGCTTGCTTCGGGACCAGTCAAGTCTATCTACGAGACACAGGAATCCAACGAGAGGACACACGATGCGGCCGCTGGTGCAGGGGACAGTTCAAAACCTGCAGACGGGCCGGCAGGGCTCGAGCTGCATCCTGACAGACAGGCCATGGTAGCTCAGGGCGAGGTCGAGCAGCTGGAGAGAGAGCAGGCGAGAGCGAGACGGGGAGGGAGGGAGACGCAGGAGGCAGAAGAGAAACAGGACAGCCGGCCTCATGGCAGGAGACAACGTCGGGCCAAACCGTATCCCTTTGCCAGGGAAGAGGACGCAGCGCAGAGGCGGATCGCGGAGGCCAAAGCGAGGGAGAAGCTCCGGCAGATGAAGGAGAAGGAACGCGCAGACATGGCCAGGGCAAAGAGGCCGGACCGGTCTGGCAGGAGAAGGCTGGGCCGCGAGAGCAAGGTGCTCCTGGACAAGGTCAAGAGACTTGTAGCAACCGACTGATCTTGCTCGGGACGGCTGGCAACAAGCTGCAATAATCCAGTCCAGTCCAGGTCCAGCCCAAGCAGCAACTCCCGGGCTGGAAACACCGAGATGAATCGCTTCTCTCCGGCGAAGAAACTTCACGCCATGGCCTTTTCTCGCCCAAGATACAACAAACTACTTCGAGCCCTGATAGACTTCCTGGCGGCGAAAAAAAAAAAAAAAAAGGATGAAAAAAGACAACTTCTTCCGTCCGGCCTTAACAGTGCCGCAGACCAGGACAAAAATAACATCCTCGGCTAATATTCAGAAAAGTCTTATCTTATGCCAACAGGATCGAGAGGAGGCGTGTGGCTATGGAGATCTTCAGTCCAGCTCATACGTACATACATATATTAATAACTGCTTCCTCTTCCTCTTCCCCCCCGACGGAACGACCCAAGGATATGACGTCTTTTTCCACTCTCGACGGAAGCAACTTTCCGGAAATTTTACCCTGGCGACTCTCCACAGGCGTATGTATCGTGTATGCATGAAGATTAGGCCATGTAGCATAAGTTATGTTAGTCGCTTCTCTCGCCAGGGGGAATAACTAAGTGATACTGGTGCAACAGCCAGTAATGTGCTGCTATATCAAGTACCTGCAGCTATATCATCCCTCTAATACCAGCGGTCAAGTCTACCATGGAGAAGGAAAAAAAGGCACGAAGAAAAGCAAAGACGAACAGAAAACGGGTTGTATTCTGGACTAGCCGTGGGACCCTTTTTTTTTCCTCTTCCTCAACAGATGACTTTTAACGTATGTATGGCGAAAAGAAAAACAAGCAAGCCATGGGACGCCACATCTTGTATTTCCATCTCTCGACAGGTTTTGTGGACGTGCAGGTTACGGAGCACGCACAGTATAGGCATACATGGCACGAATTAGTACCCCGGTCAATGCGGTCGGTCGATCTTGAAATAAAGCGTCGCTTGATGCTGTGTGTGTGTGTGTGTGTGTGTTTTTTTCATGCAATTCCAAGAGTTGTCATGAGTATATCGTTAGCTTGGGAAAGATGGTTGGAAAGTTACATGAAAGTATCCAGATCCGTCAGTAAAAGTCATTCATATCCAGTCGTAGCAGAAGATGCTCAAAGACGCTGTTCAGATCTATATTATCGACTGCTGCATCCATGTCATCGTGATCGATCATATTCTTGACACCGCCCGCATCCAGGCTACGTAAGAAGCAGATGAATCCACCGACTTGCTTTTTGAATCGCGTGTATAGTTCGCAAATCGATCGATCGTAGTATGCTGTTGTCTTGGATGATGGCATCTTACCCCCTGCCATGGCGATGTCAAGTCGCTCCTGATATGCCTTGACATGGAAGGAAAACGCAAGGATGGATCGGAGGACATCCTCGAGCAGATTCCGGGCCTTGACCTGGCCCTTGCTCAGGAACAGGGCGAATATAATTCTATCGAGAACCCGTTCGTGGTATTCTTTTAGTCGACGAAGCCCTTTTGCATGGGTGATAGTGCCTTCTACGTTGCCGGCGTCGATGCACCTTTCGATCTGTGATAGTCTCTTTTCAAATTGTTGCCACGGATGGTTTATTCCAACCTGGAAGCAGTAGTCGCTAACCACCTGGACAAAGTGGAATGCTTCCAAGCGAAATCTTTGCTCTATCTTTTCCCGGCTGGTTGTCTGTCGGCCCGATGGGCCACGAATCAGATCGCGCACAACGGAGAGCATCCTTATCAGCCTGAGAAGCTGCCTGAATATCAGGTCATACTTCTCTAGGCTGAGAGGGGTTATTACCTCCTCTAATGGCGAGGGTGGGGTATACTGTATTCGAAGAAAATCAAGAGCTTCAAGCGAGTGTGGGTTCTTGCAGCTCTCTAGCTCCTCTCCAGTAAGCTCACGGATAGAGAAGCTCAGGCCACCTGGTAGGTCTCTTGAACCATCCAAGTGATGATCGCCCTTGTCGTTACCAGCGTAACACTCAGATAGAAGCCCTGTCAAAACCAAACGAAGCTCAGAACTCGCTGGGGGCCAGGTGTTTCGATTCCCAAGCCGTAGACCGGTAGACGAACCGCCTCTCGCAACACCGGATTTCCGCTCACCGCTATGCATATTTGGGTCGAAAAGAGCTAGAGATATGCGTAGCAGAAACTCTGCATTTCCGAGAAGTTGGAATCGTTCCTGTAGCTGCAGGTGATCTCTAACCTTGTGGACCTTGAATAACAGATGGAGACAGGAGAAGTTCACGAGACGGCTTTGCGCCAAGATGACGGGAGCAAATGATAAGGATGGTGCCGATTCCAGGGGTGGGCCAAACGTATGCTCTACAACAAGGCTCTTGTCGATATCGGCACATGACCCTTCCTTTAGAAGCTCGTAGAGTCTGCTGGACTTCACTTGGCGGTCACCCATATTTTGTCCTGAGGAATCTGGCCAAGTTTCAACATCGGGTATTTCATATATAGCATCGATGGATATATCCTCGTTTGGTACGTAGCCAAAGGTATATTCCTTTGGAGTGTGGCGTCCTGAATTAGACATTTTGATGGTTTTGTTATACTTCAAAATTTCATCGCGGAGACAAGCCTCGTAGCCCTTTGCTTTAAGTTGGATTTTGTCAATATCTTCCCATGTAAGCCCCCACTCTAGGGTCAGGGAAGACGTATTTTCTTTTTGGTGAACTTCCGCCAGCGGATGTCCCTTGTGGGAGGTCCTCAGGAGATTCAGGCCGGCTCCAGTCTCGTAAATCACCTCTGCATCTTCGCGGGAAATAAAACTCGGCATTGATTTCGGGCTAAATGTCGTTTCTTCAGTGGTATATTCGTCAATATACCCCGGATCGAATTCCTGGGAGGCATTGAATTGGCCTCCGGCTGGCCGCAGACCAATCCACTGAGCTACACGGTGAAGCCATAAGCTAGCAGTGGCACCCATAATCTCATGGAATATGTCTGCAAGCCACAAGTGTTGATGTGAGTATTGATCACACTTCGCAAAAACAACTGATATAACCTGTGCGTCAGTCGAAAGTCTGGTCACATTCTGGACAATGTCCATCAAACATTTGACGAGACAACCTATCCGGCTAAAGTAAATCTGTGTCTGGAGCAGGGATGGATTGGTCTTTGATTGCGCAGAAAGTCGTTCGTCAATACTGTATAATAGTATGAAAACTGCTCGGGAAAGACAGGCCAGGGAAAGTGGTGTACCTGACTGGGTTGGGATAGTAGCAATGAATTGACGAAGCTTCCGCATCCAAGTCCCGCACTCTAGAATACCTTCAGTCAGGCCATCTATCGCTGGTAAACTGATCCCTGATACGCGAACATCTCTCAAGTACTTTTCAAATGTTCGACATTGCTCATTGTATCTGAAAAATACAGAGTTCCAGCCAAGTCCAAGTTTGAAAAGGGAAGAAATGAAGACATCAGTCCTTGCAACTCGTCCTGAATCCTCAAGGCCGGTATTCGTGGCTTGATATATTAACGCCGCATCAAATCCACGAGGTCCAGCCTCGCTCAGGCAGGCTGGACCAGATTGCTCTTTCCAGATATCTGGGAAAACATCCCAAGAGCGCAACTCGTATCCTGTAGTGGGAAATGCAGGAATGTTATCCAGTGACCATATATCCTCACCAGAGCCGTCATTCGTGGATTCTTCCTGACTGTCATGCTGTGCAGAACCGGCTGAAGAACCGGCTACGCTCGGTGGGCTCGGGTCTTCTAGTTTCTCATCTCCAAAGATATTCAACGTATGTACTTCTACACCGTCATTTTTGAATAGATTTAGGGGTTTTTCAAAGAGCCCCGGCGCGAGTTCTTGATATATATCAGCTTTGGATCTTCATTAACTGGAAATCTAGGATCATACCGGGTAGGGCATCATCCCACGGGTACCTCTCTAAAGGATTAATAGGATCAATCGCAAAGAAAGCAGGCTCCTGGAGAACATCAAGTTCAAAAGGGTCTGCTGGCGGCTCAAACTCCATGGCCAGGTATGGCACACGAACACCGTATAAGTATTGTCAATAGATCAATTGATTAGAGCCAGCACATAATATCACGATTCCCATCCCCTCCTATTAGACGATCTTCCACCCCAAATAACTTGTCTATATTGTATTTCTTCAACTCTTCTATATTATTTCTCTGTTGCCAACCATTTCCTTTTTCGGCCTTCGAGATGGTTTGAATTACGTAAGCAAACGCGTTATCACGTGAGTATCTATAAAACAAAGATCCGCGAAGCCTCCAAAGGTGCTCAAAGAGAGTGAAATGAAGGAAAAAGACAAGAAACAGCTTCATCAAGTCTAACAATAAAAGACAAGAGGAAGAGGAGAATCAAGCCACCATCTACAAGACAATTAACGCTCGACGCAGCTACCAGAGGCCGATTACAAGCTATATAACAGCAATATGCCACCGCGGAAGAAACAAAAGATCGTAACCCCCTCGCAGGAACATCCACAGCCCACCCCTGCCGGCCGCGAGATAGATTACGATGAGATAGTTGCAGATCCATGGACAGACGAACAGGAGACATCGCTGTTGAAAGGGATAATACGGTGGAAGCCCGTAGGTTTGTTGACCTCTCCGGCCCTGCAGATAAGTTTCCTGAAGCTAACATGACCGGACAATTAGGGATGCACAAGCACTTTCGCATGCTAGCGATTTCGGACTATATGAAGAGCCAAGGATACGCAACACCGACTGAGCAGCACACACGAATACCGGGAATATGGAAGAAGTTAGGCACTTTATATAATCTATCTGGGCTGGACGATAGGGTGGGTACATTGCAGTTGACCTAGAGCTTGGGACAAGGCTAAATGGTTGATTTCTAGGAGGAACCGGTATCGACGGAAGAATCAGAGGATACCGAACACCCTCAGGAGCTTTATTGTCCCTTTTCCTTACCTATTGATGAATTCGGAGATATGATGTGGGATCGAAGACTAAACCCAGAAGGCTCTGTTTCTCCATCAGTCAGCGGGAGAGGGACTTCTAGGCGGGCTAGTACTATTGCAGATACAGATGGTAGGTTCTCAGCTGCACTTTGCACATATTTCGTGTCTTGTTGCCGAGCTGACTTTGTGGAAGATTTAGAGCCCCGTTCATCACCAGCACCGTCACGAGGAAGCCGGCGAGGCCGGTCGAAGCGCCAGCCAAGGGGAAGCACACGCTCTTCAAGGTTGCAGGTTGAGGTGGAGTCCAACAGAGACGCAACTAGTGATAAGGGGAGCGTCAATGAGATGGAAGACGGTGATGAAGATGACACAGAAGCTGGCAGAGATGGCAGTGATGATGATGGTGATTCGAAGATAGCGGAATCTCCTGCACCACGAGCTACGAGGACGCAGTCCACGCGCGGGAAGCCAAAGAAGGGAAGGCCCGCGTCGAAACGTGGGAGTAGACGGCGGTGACGCCTCGAATAGACACATAATACGACAGTTAATGCCAATGTGTAGGATAGTACGGAGTACCATCGGACTCATTATATGCATGTTTTAAATATACCCCCCCCGATTTCTCCGAAAATTCATACATGTATCATTTGTACATACTTATAAACAACATAGAAACATGTAACAAGATACAAACACATCAATGAGATAAACAGGTAAGAAATACAAGGGGCGAGCCATATCCAATGCGATGGTAAATGCAGAACAATTCTACTCCGTCTAATTAACAGTCTTTTTTTTTTGAGGGACTCTAGCGAGATCCACGCTGAATTAATGAATTAGGTAGATGTCCAGACAATCAGGGTCACAGACCGTTTATATGTTCTTGATGATGGCTTCGGCATATTCGTGGGTCTTGGCCTTCCCTCCAAGGTCACCGGTAAGTGCCTAGTAAGTCACGGTTAGCTAGGTTCTATAGTTGAATGAGGGATTCACTTTATCCTACCTTTCCTTCAGAGAGAGTCTTGAAGATGGCAGCTTCAATCTTGTTTGCGTCGTTGGTCAATCCCATGTGGCGCAACATCATCATACTACTCAAGAGGAGAGCAGTTGGGTTAGCCAGTCCCTTGCCGGCAATATCAGGGGCAGAACCGTGGACAGCTTCGAAAATAGAGCACTCGTCTCCAATGTTGCCAGATGGGGTCAATCCCAGACCACCGATCAGACCAGCACACATATCAGACAAAATGTCTCCGTACAGGTTCGGCATGACGAGCACCTTGTCGTTGTATGGGGCGGGATCAGTGACGACTCTCAGGCAGGTGTTATCAAGGAGCTCAGCATCGAATTCAATACCGGGGAAGTCCTTTGCGACGTCCTTGGCGGTGTTGAGGAAGAGACCATCGGACATCTTCATGATGGTGGCCTTGTGGACGACGCGGACCTTCTTCCTTCCAATCTCCTGAGCGTGCTGGAAAGCGAATCGGAGGACACGCTCAGAAGCCTCGCGGGTGATTAGCTTGATGCTCTGCACAACGCCATCGACAACAACATGCTCAATGCCGGAGTATTCTCCCTCAGTGTTCTCTCGGATAAGGACAATGTCAACATCGTCGTATGGGGTTTTGTAACCAGCAATGGATCGGCAGGGACGGAGGTTAGCAAAGAGGTTGAAGGTTCGTCGGAGAGTCAAGTTAAGGGAAACATGGCCCTTGCCAATGGGGGTCTACTCCGCAGTTAGTTACATGTACAAGAGTCCGGGATATGAAAAGAAGATTTGGAGTCCTACGGCAAGAGGGCCCTTTAACGCAACGAAGTTCTTCTTGACACTAGCGATAGCATCATCTGGAATCGCAGTCTTTCCATTCTTGAGGATAGGAGTAACGTCAACGGGCTCCCATTTGATTGGTACCTATAGTCAATGCCGGGATTTAGCTACCAGCGCTGAAACGACCACAACCGGCCCAGGAAGCTATACCTTAGCTGCGCTGAAAATTTGTTTCACGGACTCTGAGATCTCTGGTCCGATACCATCACCCTCGATCAGAGTGACGGTGTAGTTGCCCTGGTTGTGAACCGTCAGCAGCCCGTCCCTTCACCACGGAAGCCCGAGAGCCGGGGAACGATAGAGACCTACATCCGGACCTTTCTGGCCGTTAAATTTGGCAATCTTATCCGCGGCCTGGACGGAGTAGCATCGAGTCTATCCAACAAAGTACCGTTAGCCCAGATTCCTCCTGTTGTGAAGCTATCAATGCCTTCCGCCAGAGAGCGACCTACAGCATAAAATGGAGAGGGGCGGAAAGTCGAGAGCGCCGGTCCCCGCAGGGATGATCGCATGGGAAGAGTGAAGAGACGACCTGAAGCCATGATGCTAGACCTCCTGGGCACAGCAGGCAAAGGTATCTAGGTGGAAAACAGCAATTGAAGAGAAAAGAAAGGGAAAAGGAAGAAGTTGGTGATGTTTCGAAAGAGAAAAAGCGGAAGATTTGAAGCCGCGAAAAAAGTTGCTTTTCTTGTTACATCGAAGAAGCTTTGACAGTGTTTGTCTTGTTTGTTTTCCCACGTCGCATTTTCTTTTTGGAACTACAAACAAGCGACGACGACGACGATATACAAGCAGATAATGAGGTGAAGGACAGCAGGGAAGAAGAGAGAGAGAGAGAGAGAAGAGATAGACACTCGAGATGGCTGACGTGCAGTCTCGGGATGCGGCGCAGTATTATAGCCTGCCCGATCTCTACCCGGAAGAGTGGCCCGCAGAGCTAGACTCCGACAGCGAGGGTGAAGGCGAAGCTCCCTCGAGGAGCGATGACTACCGCCGTCGGTCACAGATACGATACTCTGGCTTGATTCCCGGCAGGAGAGATCAGGAGAAGTTCAAGGGTGGCGATGGCGCAGCGCTGAAGGACGAACCTGACCCCCTGGGAGGGCCGGACACGATCCTAAGGACGCTGAGGATACGCGGGCTCCCCGTCGACGATGAGCGGGTGCGGAAGCAGTTTCTGCTCTCTTCCAAAGGCTTTTCGGCTTCCGAATTCCTCTCCGCAACCCAGGAGTCAGCCTCGACTCAGTCACTGCTTCAGGGACTCGACTACCTGTCGAGGTCCATCGATGAGAAGTCTGCCTCGCTGAAGATGCTGGTCGAGTCGAATTTTGAGAGGTTCGTGCGAGTCAAGGCAACGCTGGATAACGTCTATACTGAGATGAAGAATAATGGTGGTGAATCGAATTCGCGGCTCCACCGATCACAATCCGGTGAACACCGCAGGTCAGGATCCCAGCTAGGCTCCTCGTCCAACACAAGCCTATGGCGATCAAAGAGTAAGATGGCTCTTCGACCAGATGCACCCAGTTCTGGAAGCTTGACAAACGTTTCGGGCATCAGTACGCCATTGGCAGAGGCATCTGAGCAAGCTAGGGAGCTATGGAGTGAAGCATTGAATGGTCAGCAGCGTGAAGAGGGCTTAAAGTGTATTTTGGATGCAGTCGAAAAGCAGCGCGAGTTATACGAAATTGGAGGGCAGCTGTCAAAGTCTATTCAAGAACGCGACTACGCAACCATCTTTGACCAGTATAACAGCGCTAGAAGGTTCGCAAACGAGGCAAAGGCTGTTGCAGAACGGGCAGCATCGACCAAGCAGCAACTAAGGGACGACCAGGTTTATACAATCTTAGTCACTGGAAGAATGTGGATGGACGTTGAAAAACAGATACAGACATTCAAGCGTGATTTATGGAAACGACTTAGCAACGCGCAGTCCACTTCCCCGAGTGGTACGGGCGGAGTGCAAGCTGAAGAGCATATGGAACTTATAGCCGCCCTTCTCGAACTTGGGGTAGAGGATAACCCAGTCTGGGTTTGGCTCCTTAGTCGATATGACTATCTAAAGACAAAAATAACCGTCTTCTGTCAACGATCGAGGTTTGAGATCGAAACCCTAAGGCGTAGGCTTGCGGCTGGGAAGAAGCCTGAACCACAGCGTATTGCTCCCTACCTTCGAACCTCTCTACAAGAAGGTTCAAGAACTAGCAGGCATAACCTTGATTCGGAATCCGTAATCGAATTATGGGAGTGTATACATACCTTCCTGAAGAAATTGCTTTCAGTTCAAGGGGGGATTCTTGGGGATGTACTTGGATTCTGGGACTCAACACAATCCTTCCTTGATGGCAGTAAGCAAAGACTCTTGCCCGCCGGATTCGAAGGTGAGAGCCGAAAACATCACCGCTTATCTGCCAACGGCGTGAATGACCTCAAAGATGGTATCATCGAGCTTATGGGCCTGATTCGTGACAATGTGGTCTCTGTTTTTGCCGAACCTCCCCCAGAAGATTTGGTTTCCCTTATCCCTTCTTCTCAACCAACAAGTCCAACTGTACCCTTTGTTGGTTTAACATCGGAGTCTCGCTCCATGGTCGATCCACATAATATCCCTCCTGTTCCAGAGAAAACGGGCCAACCCTGGGATGATTTCGCATTTTGGCCGCCTTACTCCAACTCTCTAAGCGGAGTGCACTACCTTGGCGAATTTTTGATACTAATAGGGACTGCTGCAAGTGAAATGGCCGCCCTAAGCCCTATATCAGGCCACAGCGGTTCATACGATAGACTCAAACTCCTTGTGGGCGGGACCCGTGAAAGATGTGCTCGTGCCGCATGTGCCGCATGGAACAGCGATGCCGAATTATGCAAATATCTTGAAGACTGGACGCGACACCCATCAATTAAAAGCTTGAGTAAAATGCCTAGCCATTTTATGACATTTGAGTCCTCGATCCTTTCAGGTATGCAGAAAATATTATATATTTCTGAATCAATGAAGCCCGGTGCGGTAGATGTTGTTACACCTCCGCCAGCGAAGCTCCTCCAGATGGTGAGGACGCAGTTTGTGGCTAGCGTATACAAAGCCTTGAGTGGCCTTGTTGAGAATGCAGAGCACCCAGTCAACGTTGATAATGATGTTGAATGGGTACTTCCCAGCCCTGAAGCTACAGCTACAGGGCCAGATGTTCATTCATCAGTCTTCGCAAGCGGAGGAGTTGACTCCAAAAACAGGGTTAGTTTCTCCAAGTATATATGCAACTTGATCTTCGTGGCATCTTTACTTACATTCAACCGCTTTAGAACGTCCGTATACTTTTGACCCTATCAAACCTCAAAGCTCTTCGCGCTGAACACGTACCCCAACTCATCGCTACGTTCGAATCATCATTTGCCGTAAAGCTAACAGACGAATCAAAAACTATCCAAGATGTACTTGGTCAAATTGACACTCGCCTGTTCCAATCATATGTGAAGCCAATAGTCGACAGCCTAAAACAAACCATCCTTGACGGAATAGCATCTCCTGATTGGGTTCCAGCAAATAGCCGCCCAGATCAGATTCGACCATATGTATATTCAATCATGCTCTCACTCGTGATGGTTCACAATGAGGTCTCTACTACCCTACCAATAGGAGGCCCAACAACTCCTCAGCCATCGTCCTCATCCAACCTAACATATAAAATTTTGGCCGAACTACTTACACAGGTCTCCAGTGCTCTTCTGGAGGCATTCATGGGACGGCCTCAATATACTCTACCCGCTCTCATGCAAGCTACTTTGGATACAGAGTTTATTGCTCAAACATTGTCTCAGTATTCCACCGATGCAGCATCCAAGGTGCAAGGCCAGATATATCTCGAGTTAGACCGCAGGACGACTAATGATGCTCGTGCAAAGCTGCAAGCAGAACTCGGGGAGATGCGTGGTGTATTGAAGAGGCTGAGGGAGGCAACTCGTGGAGAATTCGCATGTTTCAGAAAACCAAAGAATCCCAGTTCCTCCAAATAGATACCTTGAACGTATATACGACAAACAACATAATGTATCCCCCTAATAAGACAATTTCTAGGTACTGGTAGATAACGCCATGAAACTGGATAATGTCACAATGTCTCATTTGTATGTATTCATCATCTATTGAATAAAGCTATCTAAGCAGGTAAGGAAAAAGTGAGAAGAAATCGTACCCAGAATTAAACCATCCCATCCGAAGGGTAACATGAAAGGAAACAAAACAAAGCCAACGATATTCAAATTAAGACGCTTAAAAGAAAAAGATATCATCCTCGTTCCACTGCTGTGCAAGCAGTATCTTCTTCGCGGAGTTTTCCAGAGAAGCAGGACCGCAAATAAGTACCATGCTATTCTCAGAACGAACTATATGTCTGGATATCAAACCCTCTGAAATTCTTCCCTTGTATCCAGACCATGACTTTGACGGCTGTGTCAAAGTGTGAATGACTTGGAACTTATTCTTCGTGTCACATGAGACAAACGAGGCCAGCTCGGCTCGGCACATGATATCGTCTTCGGTACGATTACCGTCCAAAAGGGTGCAAGTCGTTGTATCTTCATCATCTTGTAAGATTGCTCGAAGAACCTGGAACATTGGAGTGATACCACTTCCACCACATATCATGTTGAATGAGGATATGTGTCGTTCAGTGCCGTCTATGACGGTTCTGCCTCGACCCAGGTATTCAAACTTGCAGTGAGAGGAGAGCCTGTAGTCAACCTCCGAACCGATGGGTAACTTGTCCAAGGGAACGGTAAGCTGTCCACCAGCAAAGCCAGGAGCTGGTCGATATATTTTGATAAGAAGCCCCATGCTGCCTTTATCCCTCGGGTCAGAGAGTGGTGTAATGGCCCTAATAACAGCACTAGTAGGGTCATTGGGCTTTGCATTGACCTTCAGCATGATATGTTGACCAATGCCGATTCCTAAAACCTTTGAACTGTCTGCAAACGAAAATGTGAACAGGGCCGTATCAAGTGAAAGGTTGGTTTTTTCAGTCAAAGTCACTTTCTCCCACTCGTGGATAATTGGAAGAGGCTTGCTGGATGTCCCTTGAGAGTTCTGTAGCTCACGAAGTGCAGCTGGGTCGAGGGTTCCCAAGTGGTAGTCGGGCATCATGGCCTTTGCTGACTCACTGTCTGAACGAAGTGTTAGTGCTTATCCTAGGTAATGCTGATACTAGGAACTTACGGATAGCCAGGAATTCCTCCGTGCAATCTGTTGCTGCCGTCGAGATGATGCTCTGGGCGCCACCTGGATGGCCTTCAAGGAAAGGTGTACCATCATATACCTCACCATCAACCACGAACCAAGGGTCTGTATCGCGGCTGTTATGTGCCATGAACTCCTCTAGAGTTATGTTGACCTTGAGCCCTGGCTTTTTCATATTGATTTCAGGTTCCGGTTTTACATCAACTGGCTTTGCAGCACTGGCTGATGCCTCCCCCCAGTTTCCGTCTGTTAGATCACCTCCGGCCTTTTTAACCGCTTCCATCCAGCCGCCCGCCTGAGTGGCGGGTAAGGTAGGGTGTTTGAATTTCAATACCCCGTTCTCTTTGGAAATAGTGATGCGGAACCAAGGGTTGTTCATCATCCCAAGAACCGACCAATACATTTCTCGTGGTTGAATATTCAAGGATTCGTCCATGGCGCGGACAACAATACTGTCTGCAGTTTCAAGCTCATGAGTTTGCACTTCGAGCGACCAGAAGCACCAGCAAAAGTAGGTTTCGCGCCAGGATAAGTCAAGTTGACCGCCGTACAGGTACTGGCTCGTTGCCCTGTACCTATCCTCATCGTATTGAATGGATGAAAGCCGCCAGGCTATGGATAAGTCAGCATATTTACTCGGGTATGAGCAGTATGGATAACTTACTCTTTCCGCTATCCAAGGATACCTCTATCCTTGAAACCTGCCTTCCGCCACCGCCATATGCATATCCTTTAATGGTGTACGAGGGCGTGGATGAAACTACAACTTCTTCATCATGCTGTGGATAGGCAATGGCAGAATTGACGTTTAGATGTTGAATCACATAGCGCTCATCACGCCACCAGCTATCATCCTCGGTTGCCATTTCAGGGGAGCACATCGTTCTACACCCCGTTAGTGGCAAGGATTTTAATAGATAAAGGTGGTACTTACGGCAGTACTCTGTTGTCATAGATGTGATACCAGTTATCACTTGGGTTTTCGGTCAATATAATCTTGGTGATCCATTTCACACTTCTACCGCCAATATGCCCTGGTATCACTGCTCTGAGTGGCCATCCATGGTCCTGACGGAGAGGCTCTCCATTCATCATATAGGCAAGCATGACGCCCATAGCTGGATCCATAGCCGTAGAGAGCCTGATGGATGTTCCATAGTTCCCATTTGGCTATCCAGACAGTTAGTATACTGAAACCATTCAGCTTTACTCCCAGATGGACATACCAAAGCATCGGCTCCTTCCATGCACATGTATTTCGCCTTTCTCATGGGTTTTGCTCGGCTCAAAATGTTGTGCATCATTGGCCCAGTGAAAAGAGCTGTCGACAAACCTGCTGCTCCCCAGTTGAAACCTTTGGACTTCCGAACCATATTTTGTTCTTTACGGCGATTGCCGGCACATACGAGAGTGACAGGGCAAGTGACCTGTTGAAAGTCGGAAATTATTTGTCGTAATGTCAGGACAATCGGGTTCTCCACCAAACTAAGGAAACAGCTGAAGATTAGACATCTATCCTAAGCCTGCCCAGCCTCAGGAGTGCCTCACCCTTCAATAGAAAGCTCCCAGTTGAGTATATCATCCTGTTCGATAACAGGAACTGCTCCATGATTTCGAACGAAAAATAGTTCAGGCGAGGTCAGGAATCCTGTGCCGTAGATATTAAAAAGTTAGAATCTGACATTGTCTCCAGCACTTTAGTAATTGAGAACTGTACCCTCGTCAAACAAAGCAGTAAGCGGAGACTCTGAGTTGAGTGGGTGAACACCAGTCAAGCGGACCTGGATGGGGTCTCTTGGAACATGTCCATCTGGAGTTTCCTTGTCTATGTCCAAGACCTCCAGCGGCTTTTTGGCTGGTGGCGGAAGTGGTATATCAAAGGTGTTCACAAATTCATCTCCGTTCTTAACAGGGCTTTTCAGAGAAAAGATATTGACTTCTTTTGTCTTTGAAACGGGAATGGGCTCTATCTGAATAGGCTCGTAAGACGGCATGATGGCTATGTTGAAGGAGTTGTCTGCGATCTAGCTATGTAGACGAGCAGGCTCCTGTTCAGGCCATTGGGAGTTTCCATGGGAATAAAGCGGAATAAATACTGTCGTCCCCCGTTTACTTAAGAGTATCAGCAACTACCCAGGTAAAGGTTCAGGTGCTGACATGCTGACGCAAGCTCCTCCAATCGAGGGCTGCTCATCCGAGGGTATGAGACGGGGTTATCCGTCTTGAGATGCAGTGTATCGACGTGATGAATCATGACACGCAAGTCGGGCTATGCCACCAAACAGCATGTTGCCAGCCGGGTATACAGTGTAGAGCATTAATTATGGGACTCCGCGGAGATATATAAATATTGTTTCTTTTGACAGGGAGGAGAGATCTACACACAGGCGTGCACATCATGATAGACCGAATAATGGTGTTCGGGGGGATTCGTTTCCGCTGCCGCTGTGCAACAGGAGTGTTTTCTGATGGAATCCATCTTTGACGAGGGTTGAGAGGGATTGAGGAAGCGAAAAGGAGCGAGTCAAGCTTTTGGCTGTTTGAGCTGCATGGGCTTATGCAAGATGGCGGAGGACGAAGAATCCATGTTCCCCATCTGCAGCACAACCAAGCAAAGCTTGATTAAGCTTGAAATCTTTTTCATGGTTGTCAAGGGTCGTTGGCACGGGTTTTATTTCGGCATGTTCGTGGCGGCCCCCGGTATATATCAGGTGTAAGTTACCATTGGATCCCATAGGAGAGGAAATCTTCATGTGTCGACAGAGTCCTCGAAACAGTCAGCGCCTCAGTTTACCGCGCTATACGGGATCAAAGTGAACTCATAAGACGGGATCTAGCTAGTGTAGACGAGTCGAAAAATGGACGGCCTAGACCCTCTTAGAGGAGCGCTTGTGGTAGCCTCTTGAACAACGTTGAACGAGGTCGACCGATGTAAGACACTCTCACGAAACAACGACTAGTCGCGCCCATGCATCTTCGAGGATTCTGCAAACTCTGATATTTGATCACACCGACAGTTTTACTAGATCCTTCCATGGAAGGGTTCAGTTGCTCCAAAGGCACAACTTGAACAGTTTCCAGATAAGCCGTGGTAATCGTCAGGGATCCGAGTGGCAATCAAACATGTAACCGAACTCACTGGAGATAAGATGGATGATGTGTAGTATTTCATAGCCTGCCACTGATAACGACCCCCGTACGCCTCCCATGACCCTGAGAGCCAGCCATTAACATGGAGAAGAGCACACAACGACCAGCTTCGTGGAAAACAAACTCCTGGATATATGGATGCGTAGTATTAGTTACTCCATACCTTTCTATGTAGGTAGTCTCCAGTTCGTACTATATGCCCTAGTACCTCCGTGAGGTAGCCCCCGTCTATTCGGAGTTGTGCAGTCCCCTATCCACATGAAAGACTCCGTTTATATGCCAACAGCTATCTTGCAAGATTGTCAGGAAATCAAGCCATAAACATCGTGATCGCCAGGTATTCCAGTGATGCAATCTACACCTGGTCCTCATATCAGTATATCTTAATCGCTGGTCAGGGACTCGGTTTCGGGTGCTGATCGACCTCTGGAGCCGCTTCTGGTAACCCGTTTCCATGAGCAGTTCCCTAAATGAATATAGCATCGTGTATGCTGCATTAACTTTCAGCCAACAGGGGGGGAAATGGCCACACATGGAGCCCATGGAAGAGCATTGGGTCGCATTGGGGGTAAGATTCGATCAGCCTGGCCAGTGAGCATAGAAACGGATTTAAGGCACGAAAATCCGTCGAATGGACTAGGGGTTATATGTAATCTATGACACCATGATTTTGGTCATATCCATGACAGACATGCTCCTAAGTTGTTTAACTCGAACGAGTCGGCTTATCACCTAGTTCACATCAACCATATTAATAGCGTAATATAGTTCATCCATATCTGAAAACTCTCAAACGGAACGGAACGTTACCGAACATGCTTAAACATATGTATGAAGAGATAGATCTCAGATTGGATACTTTCCGCTGCAGAACCAGGGGAATAATCCTCGCGCTATTACGTGGCAGGCATTCCGTTCCAGGCATGATAACCACCAAAAAGAAATTTGGCGCTTGGGATGAGAAGGATCACCCAGGGTAGAAAAAGCGTGTTATCCAGGGGAGCGATTAATAAATTAATATTTTAACGAGCTGGAGAGTTTTCCCACGAGATTTCCTGCGGCTGATAGAAGCTGTATACGACCAACTGACTGAGTCAATAGCTTTTCATGTCCAATAGTCTTCTGGTCTAGTAGTGGCTTATATAGGGGTTCAAGCTAAACGAGAGCTGTCCCACAACACGCCATCTTCAGCCAAGTCTGTGAGAGGAGTAGCGCCAAAGGATGAAGTATGTATAAAGGGATCACTATAGGCATATGGTGTCAGGATTCCCGTAATTAAGCTTATAAGCTCATCCTAGGGTATATTCACCTGTCGTATTCTAATATGATATTCAGCGTTCATTCCTCCCCGTGGCCAGCATGATCTCCATGTATATTGTCCATACACAGACTGCTGCCAAGCATCAGCCAGTAACGGCAACAGGTTAAGGTAGTAAGTACCGAGACTCCGCGATATCTATGCGGTTTCAATAATATTATTTAGGGTTGGTTAAGCATCCGGGCCCTATTTAACCGTACCGACCGCTCCGGGCCCCAGCGAGCGAAGTGGGCATGGGTATAGGCAGGTCCAAACACACGGCCAGAGAGGAATCCTGAGGGACATCGCATCGATTAGTTCCAGCCATGTCAGAGGAGACACGTTCGCTGTGACATATTCGCTTCATCCAGCACCGATCTCGGGCTAACTAAACAGCAGACGCCTGTCCAGAATCCTTCGCTTGTCAAACCTGGCTGCATTTTCTGGTGGCGCTCTCCTTGGGTTTGAGGCGGAAATCTCCGCGGAGAATAGGATGAGATATGGCAATGGAGTCAGCCTCGAACAGGCTATATATATCCTGCTCGCTCGCCCAGAGTGACACAAGTGGTCAATTTGCGGAGACGTTGGTGATTGTTGCAAGTTTCGATCAAAAATTCTCCCAAGCCTGTGTTGCGAAATAGATTAAATCCTGCTGAACGCAAAAACACGTGGTTTGAGAAGTTCCTGGGCTTCTTCGCTTTTCCTCTCTCTCTCCCTTTCTTCGTTTCTTCTTATACCAAGACCAGCTATTACCGAGGAAGATACTCCGGATCTTGCCGCAACCCGCATTTCGCTGTGGAGGTAGCGCATGTTTTCTAACATCATCCCCTTTACGCTCAATCTTTCGCCAGTATCTAACAATTCCAATCTGGATCCCTCTCGATCAGCAAGTAGAAACATTCTAGTATTCTTGTCACGCCCTCGCTCCTGCAGAGTGTCAAGCAACAATGCGTGAAGACGCACCTGGTCACTTGAACAGAAATAAATGATTGATGCAAATGTCGCTCTACTTAAGTCGAAGAGTCTCAAGTGATAGCTGGGTCACGACGATCGGTTTGCTTGATAAAATTGGGTAAGGCTGTCTCTGCGGATCCTCTCAGAAGAAAGTCGTCAGTCATGTGTAAGTGGCTATCAGTTATAGATTTAAAAGAAGTGTAGTTCGTATTTCTTTGCTTGGTTGCATAGTTGATAAGCTTTGCAACGCCAACGAAGTCATTCTCATCATCAGTTTTGGCTTAGAAGCCCCTTGATATTCTTGCTGTTGACTTCCGTTTTCGATCTCCCTGGATAACCCGATAGTTCATCGTGTTCATCCGGTACATGCGTGTCGGGATCACTATCGATAACTGCTAGCTGTTGCAAATACCTAACGATAACTAAGGATTCAAGTGTTTCTAATCAATCACATTGGGGGTTATCGCAGGGTAAACCGCATAGATGCATTATTAAAGGCATTTGCCTTAACGTAATTGGCGCATGGCCAACGCCTTTAATGTATTTTGGCAGGTTATTGCTTGCACAGGCCCAATGCATGTCGGTAGACCTAATCTCTTCATCAGAGACAGGTAAACTACCAACGCTTTCCAAACCGTTTCTAGAGCAAGATAGCTCTTATTACCATTTCCCAAGGAGGCCAGCCCTGAAATCATTTCATAGTCCAGGTCGGATGCACTGGGTAACGACCGGTCTCCAGATAAACCTACGCCAGAGTCAGTAAGTAGAAGAGATATATAAAAGATAAAATAAGGACATACGTAATACTTCTCTACCCAGGCGACAGAGTAAGTGGCATGTTGTTAATGGCTAAGTTTGAACATCTCGCCTATAGATATCAGTGGAACTATACCATGAGTAGAGATGTACGATCGTATCAGTTCATGGTCGAGCCTGGGTATCCCTTTCCGTAGGAGCAATGCAGTTAGCCTGATGCCATTTGGCTGCTTGTCATCTTTGAGCTTAGTCGTAGTGCTAAAAGCCGTTTTTGCTGCTGCAATGAAGCTGACGTTGAAAGAAGCTGGAAATATCACGAGAAAAAGAAAGATGTTTATTGCTATGATCAGTGCAAACAGTGCAAACTATGAAGAGAATAACCACGTGATATCCCTGAAGAAATTCGTACCTTCTACGCTTCATCTCCGTAGATATTTTACTATTCATGGGCGAGATCTCTTGGCCCCTCAGTATTAATTAATTGTTTACTATGACAGTTCTCTCTCTTCTATATATTGTTTATCCGTCGACGCCGTACTTGGGATCAAAGTGGCACAATGTCAGTTCCGGGCGTCATCAGCTTCGTTCAATGGCACTTGAGTGATATGGCTATCATACAGCAAGCCCTGGAAACCCGTGAATATGACTTGATGAAGGCTCATGGGCTCGATAGGGACACTTTTATTCATCATTAATAATTCGAAATGAACATATAGACAGCAATTTGCGGATTTTCTAATGGATGTCATTATGATGAGACTTTCCTTTGTTGTCCGGATATCATCATCATGTAGCTACCATATCTACTTCAAGGGCTTAAAAGGATAAGGCCAGATACCCTTTAACCCTGGTCTCGGGCGCAGACACCTCTCTTACCCCAACCGGCCAAAGAGAAGCTTGGGATAAGATACCCTTAAATATATGATCAGTTGCTCAGTTGCTCAGTTCTGTCTTCCAGGACTATGTAACTGTCCAAGTCTTTCATAAGGCGACAGATTATAAGAGTTAGCTGTTCTATAACCCCGTCAAGGGAGAATGGCTATGCTTCGGCGTCATGCCCTCTATTTATTGACCAGGAGTTCACAATCGATCCTGGAGACTGGACAACTCAGGTCATTAGCTTGGGAAGTGTTTTCCCAGACAGATCTTTGGGGTTATTCTGTTTCCGCTCCGGGTCGGTTTATACAGGTATTCTTTTCCCATCCGACAAGAATAAGCAAGCAAGCAACTAAATATCAGATTATAGCAAAGTATTGGTCTCATTCTGGGCCCAAGATACTGTGATTTCTTACGCAAACGTGTGCTAGCTACCATAAACATCATCTCACATCTTTAGATACTCTTGAAGAGGCTAAAGGGGCCGACATGCGTTCTCGATAGGTTATCTTTGCAGTTTACACGGGTGTATTTGGATATGTAGGAATGAGAATACCTTATCCGTTTTAGAGATGAGAGCAACAACGAAACAACAATTTTAACCACATGCTAACCTTCATATAGTAAATTCAACCCGGGAAACAAATCTGATAATATTGATTACTCTACGACAAGCCCTCTGGATGGGATGGCATGCCCTTTTTACTTATGAATCATGTCATTTGGTTGAAACAGTGCAATTGCCATTCTAAAGAAGTGGAAGGGACGTCCTAAAACTGAGACTGCCCTGCTACGGGCTCAAACTTCCCTTTCAAATGATATCATACGAACGCAACTTTCCACGCAACAGCGAACTACACCGCTGGCTAAACATATTCATCCCTCCGGGCTCGCTGGCTCCGCAAACCATGGTGGAGTATCCTACGGGATATATCTCAATGTCGAGAACGGCACGTCGTTCCAGATAACCAAATCCGTCATGGGAAGGTGTCCACTCACAAACTCATATGCTTTCACCATCCCCAACGAGATAATGTCTGGTAAGTCACTATTGGCGTAGATTTGGTATAATCTATTTGACAACCGTGAGGTGTAT